GCTAACAGCCAGTGGGGTAAGAGACACTTTCAGTACTTTCCTACAGATGTGGAGGAGAGGGCATATCAAAATATCAAAGGAAGGTAGTAGAAAAAGGAAGAGGAGCAGCAGTGGTCTGGGGCTCCTGAAAAGTGTCCATAGACAGAGAATCCTAAGCATTCTACCCAAATGGTCTAACCTTTTCAGGTTTCTATTAAAATAAGGTTTTCTGAAACCAGTAATTAAAATAGTACCCTGCAACCTGCCTGCTTAAATATGTAAATGTATGACTTGACTTCAAGTATCATAGGAAAGCTGCACACAAGATTAAACTGGAATAGAGTATGTTAAGTACTTGATAAATATTCAGTAAGTATTAGCTTTGTATGGTTTTTAATGCAGATGTTACCAGCCTAGTTTGGTTTTCCTAGTAATAACATGCAAGGTGGTTTTTTTTCTTTTTTTTCACTAATGGCTATATATCCATCATAGTTCTTTGATTTCCACTTGTATAATTAACCTGAGTCTATGGCCCAAAGACTAAAATCCATCAATCAATGAGAAAACAAAGACTTAAGGAAACTCAACTATGAGCTTCCTTATTCTATTATTTCAGTATGCTACTCACCCATCCTTCTACCATAAAGCTTACACTGATTATCTGTATTGACAAATAAGTTATCCTACTTTGTTTTCAATCTTCTCAACCATATTTATCATTTCCTATCTCATTGTCTTTCTTTAAAACATCGCTTTCTCACACATATTTTAGTTATTTATGAATTTTTATTTTCTCCATTATTTGACTGGACAATGTCTTAGATTCATGGTATTCCCGATAGCATAGAGTTTTTAACAGCATTTAAAATAATATTTGTTAACTATTATGGTTATAAACAACTACTATATTCTTACTGTTAAACATTTTGAAAATACTGTAAAATGTTCAAGGGGAAATAAACTATGCCTAGTCATCCTCCAATGGGAAAAAAAAAAGTGCTGCTCCATTTTGGCCCTTTGAGCCACTTTCCTTATGTAGGTAGATTTTCTGCTTTTTTAAACATAGTTGAGAGTTATTATGGTCTTCCCTGGTGGCTCAAATGGTAAAGAATTTGCCTGCAATGTGGGAGACTCAGAGTTAGATCCCTGGGTCGGGAAGAATCCCTAGAGAAGGAAATGGCTACCCACTCCAGTATTCTTGCCTGGAAAATCCCATGGACAGAGGAACCTGGAAGGCTTCAGTCCACAGGGTCATAAAGAGTTGGACACAGTTGAGCGACTAACACTTCTCACTTACTACACATATATTTCTCTAACCAATCTCCTCCTATTTACCAAAAATTGGTAAATACCTTTCCATACTGTTAAAACCCTTCAGAAACAACCTTTAAAAAATCTGTATAACACCATATCTTTTGACAATACCATAATTAATTCAAACTGTTCCCCTCCTGTTGGGCATTAAGACTATTGTCAATACCTAACTTTTCTAACCAAAGCTATATTAAGCACTTGTGAATGTCAACTTTTTAAATACTTCTTATAAGTCCCCTTGGACAGACTGCTAGAACTGGAACTACTGGACTGAGGAGTAGACACATTAGTGAGATTTTTGACATTCAGCCAACAAGTTTTTCAAAAAGGTTTAACATCTGTGTACCTCTCACAGCATCTGAGAGTGTCTGCTCTACTGCACGCTAAATGAAGTGAAGAGCTAGAATTTTTAAAAATCTATGTAAATTTGAGAGCTGGAAAAACAGTCCCAGGCTGTTGTTTCAATTTCATTTATTTGATTAATGGAAAGAGAAAGCATTTTTTTTCTTTTTTTTTTCTTTTTTATTTGAGAATCATTTTCATATGACTATTAGCCCTTTAGTTTTCTCTTCTATGGATAGTCTGTTCCTGTCTTTATAGTCTTCTATTGTGGTGTAACAAATTCCCACAAACTTAGAACCTTAATACAACACCCATTTCCTCGCAATTCTGAAGGTCAGAGTCTGGGTGGGGTTGGCTAGGTCCTCAGCTCAGGCTCTCCTTCACAAGGTTGGAATCAACGTGCTGGCCAGGCTGTGTTCTTAACCAACGGCTCTGGTAAAGAATCCAGTTCTGAGCTCATTCAATTTGCTGGCCCTCATTCTGAGGTCCCACTTTCCACGCTGGGTCACCCTCAGCAATTCTAGGTCTCCTGCCTTTCTCAAGGCCGACCCATTCCTTCTCAAGCATTCCCTCCATCTTCAATACAGCAACAGCGCGTTCAGTCCTTCTCCGGCTTCAGAGCTCTCAGATTTCCCTAGTCTGAGAAAGCTCTCCTCTTTTACAGGCCCCTTGGATTAGGTCTGACTTCCCTGGTAGCTCAGACAGTAAAGTGTCTGCCTATTATGCGGGAGACCCGGGTTTGATCCCTGGGTCAGTAAGATCCCCTGGAGAAGGAAGTGGGAACCCACTCCAGTATTCTTGCTTGGGAAATCCCATGGACGGAGGAACCTGGTAGGCTACAGTCCACAGGGTCGCAAAGAATCAGACACGACTGAGTGACTTCACTTCACTTTGAATAGATTTGGCCCACCAGCTCATTCCCCTATTTTATATTCAACTGTGCCATGTAACATATTATGATCAAGGAAGTGACACTTCATCATTGCAACAGGTTCTAGGGATTAGGGCATGCAATCCCGGGGGAGGGGCATTTTCAGAACTGTGCAGGCCACAGTGTCTTAGGTGTTGCTTCTGATCATTTGTTTGTTCTCTTTATGATGTCTTGATTGCGTGAATTTACCAAATAAGTGAATCTTACTGATGACTGCCAGAGGGTGCATTTTCACAATAGCAAAGACAGCTGTGGACAGGGCCTGCTAAGTGCTAATAGAGATTCTGAACACAGTGGATCCTCTGCACCCTGGGCTTCCACATCCGCAAATTCAACCAATCACAGATTGAACATATCTGGGGAGAAAAGAACTCCAGAAAGTTCCAGAAGCAAAACTTGGATTTAATGGGCACCAGGCAACTATCTGCAGATTCCCTAATGACTCAGTGGTAAAGAATCTGCCGGCTAATATAGGAGACGCAGGTTCGATCCCTGGCTCAGGAAGAGCCCCCGGAGGAGGAAATGGCAACCCACTCCAGTATTCTTGCCTGAAAAATCCCATGGACAGAGGAGCCTGGTGGGTTACAGCCTATGGGGTAGCAAAGAGTAATATATGACTTAGCAACTTAAAAAAAAGGCAACTATTTACACAGTATTTTCATTGAAATCACAGCTATTTACATAGAATATACATTATATTAGGTACTACTAGTAATCTTATAGTACCGAGGAGTCTGGCAGGCTACAGTCCACGAGATCACAGAGTAAGACACAACTGAGCGACTAACACTTTCATAAGTAATCTAAAAATGATTTAAATTACACCAGAGGATGTGTATAAGTTAAGTGCAAGGCACTACATCATTTTATATAAAGGTCTTGAAGATTCTTGAATTTTGGTATCTGAGAGGTCTTGAAACTGAGTCCCCTTGTGTATCGAGGGATGACTGTATATAACTTTGCTAACACTGCTGTTTTTAAAAGATTTAATTGTGGGAAAAGTTACAATATGAAAGTTACTATCCTATTTTTAAGGGTACAGTTCCTTACTGTTAAATACATTTACCTTGTTGTGCAACTAATCTCTCGAACTCTTCATTTTGCAAAACTGAAACTATACCCATTTAACAACTGTCCATTTCAACCCTCCCCCAGCTCCTGGCAATCACCATTTACTTTTAACATTGCTATATCTTTATGTATTTTTTAACAAACATGTATATTGCAATTTCTACATGTGCTGTTCTAAGAAATTTAAAAATATTAACTCATTTAATCCTCATAATAACCCTATGAGATCAGTACTCTCATTCCCATACCAAAGATTAAGAAACACAACAAATAAACTACTCAAGGTTACACAATAGGAAGTGACCAAGCAGGAATTCAAACCCAGAATGGCTTTATAGTTCTTGTTATGAACCATTACATGGTGAAAATACTCACTGTAAAGGCAAACTCTTCATTCATTAATATTATTTCCTTGATGTGCATGACTTTAAAACACTCTTTTATGTGTAATCACTCTAATATTCTTCTAGTAACTAAAAGTTAGACTATTTGAACCAGAAAAACTAATGCCTACTTATTTTTCAGCCCAGTTTTGGTTAAGGCATTTTTTTTTTAAGCTAATGAAACAAAAATTGCTTTGTATCTTAAAGTGTGCCAAAGTGTCTTATAAATGAATACAAATTGCAATTGACTATGACAACTGAAATTAATATATCACAGGAAAAAAAGCCTAGATATTTCTCTTTTCCAAGAAGAAAGAAAACTTCCAAATAAGTTTACAATAGCAATACTCAATCTTGGTTTAACCTGGTAGGTTCTAATCTGTTTTGATTTGCAAGCTATAAATCTAGATCAGTCTTTATTTGTCATTCATTTGTATATCTCAGTAGTAACTTAATTTATTTGAGGAGTGGGTCTAAAATTTCCGGATCTCAATCTTTTAGCTTAGTAATCCTTTTATAGAAGACCAAATCATGCTTGTCATCAGTCACACAGTGGCATTTACTATATATTAAAAACGAGCAAGGTCAACAGAAGGAACAATCGTTGTAATCTGAGAGCCCTAGTTAGATGAGAATTAAAAGCTCTGCTGAGGCCTCGTTTCTAGGACCCATGAGGGGTGGTGAGGGGTGGAGGGGAGGACTTAAAAAAAAACGCACAGAACAGGATCAGCTATTTCAACTGCTTTCTACTTATATACCTGATTCATAAAAATAAATAGACAATGCATCATATAATCTCCTCTCACCTACTATCCACTGCATTATTGTGCAATTTTCAGGATGAAATAAAAACCAGAAGATGGAAGAAATAGCAAAATCACCGCTACCCTAGGGAGCTTCTCGGATATTTACAATGCTGTCATCCCCACACCCTTCCCCCAGTGACCAGCCAGGCGGCAAAGAAGCAGGCAGATGCTCACCTGGCCACCGACTGCTTTTCTCCTTTCACCTGCAGGGCCTGCAACCTACTCCAGGCTGGGGCTAGGTTTCGGCAGCCCGCCCTCCTCACGGTGACAGCCCATTTGGCCGGCGACCACTCCGGCCCGGCTTTCTGTTTACAAGCGCTTCTTGCGGTCCCACACTTAAATGCTTCCTTCCAGCAGCCAGGGAAGCGAGACTCCGACACACAAGGTTCCAGACCGCAAGGACTCGTCTTCCTTGCCCTAGGGACCCAGCGCCCGGCAAGGCCCAACCGCACCTTCCTGGCCTTCTTACCTCTCTGTTTTCTCACAGTCTTCATCACACACGTCTTGCAAACAGTGCAGTGTGCCTCAGAGCCTCCTCTCTGCTCTTCTCAACGCCCAAGTGGATGTTTACAATTCGAAATTTTTACTTGGAACAAACCTGGAACTAGTTTTTAGCAGCTCCCTTGGCTAAGAGAATTTGAGAAAGAACTTATTTCTGAAAATAGGACTATGAGAACCTAGAGGTTGCTTCGCATTTGCGGTTTGGAGCTGCGATGAAAGTCAATTTTCATTGCCCTTTCATGTTGTAGCCTGCAGGTTGAAAGAGGATGGTTTTGAGAGGTCTTCAACCCCCACTCAGATTCACATCAAAACAGAAAGGGCGTGTGTGTTTGTGTGTGTATGTGTGTGTGTGTGTGTGTACATGCACACTGGCAGGCGACCTGAGTTCTCCCCAACCCACCCCCAGTGACCTTGGCCAGTTTACAAGAGGATAGGCTGGTCTGACTGGAAGACTGTCCTTGAAGTTTCCTGCTTTATTCTCCATCATAGCACACTTAGCCGTTTTCTCAATTTATAATTACTTTTTTTTTTTTTTAACTTACCTGTTTTGTTGGCATCACTATCCCCACTCCAGCCTCACCTGTGAACTCCCTGAGTGAGTGACTGAGTGAGTGAAAGTTGCTCAGTCATGTCCAACTCTTTGCAACCCAATGGATATACAGTTCATGGAATTATCCAGGCTAGAATACTGGAGTGGGTAGCCTTTCCCTTCTCCAGGGGATCTTCCCAACCCAGGGGTCGAACCCAGGTCTCCCACATTGCAGGCGATTCTTTACCACCTGAACCACAAGGGAAGCCCAAGTGCAGGAACTATTTCAGTTTCACTCACCATGACTTTACAGGTACAAAGCGCGGTGGCTTCTGTGCTTGCTGATCAGGGGCTTCCCTGGTGGCTCCGAATGTAAAGAATCTGCCTGCAGTGTAGAAGACCCAGGTTCGATCCCTGCGTTGGGAAGATATCCTGGAGAAGAAAATGGCAACCCACTCCAGGATTCTTGTCTGGAGAATTCCATGGACAGAGGAGCCTGGCAGGCTACAGTCCACGGGGTCACAAAGAGTTGGACCTGACTGAGCAATTAACGCTTTGACTTTCACAGTGGCAAGGTATATAGGTTTGAATGAATGAACAAAGAAATGGACACACACACAAAAATTTGTCAAAGGAGTCCAGAGAAAGTAGCAAGATAAGATTTGAAAAACATGATTCCCCCACTCTCTGGAAGATGAATAAAAGTCTTTCCCCACTGAATTAAAAAAAATATATATATCTCTTTTGGTTGATGTTTAGAGTTTAAATAAGTTTGTCAGAAAACTTACACTGCAATTCGAGATACTTGTTGTTCCCTAAACATGCAGTATTCTCTTTTGCCTCAGGACTTTTGATACTTGGTTCCCTTTGATGAGAGTTGTCACCTCTGCCCCCATCCCTTTAGCCCGGCCAACTTCTCCTTGCTCTTTAGGAAGCAAGTGTCATCACACCTCTCCTGGAAGTCTCTAACTGAGGAACCTGATCCTTTTAAGTGTGCCCAGAGGAACTCATATGTTCTTCTATAAATGCATTCATCTATATACTCATTAGTCTTCCCAGGCCATTGATTCTCAAACTTCAACATGAAACAGAATCTTCTAGAACAGTGTTTCTCAAACTTTAATGTGTGGGGATCCTGTTAAAATGCAAGAGGTCTGTTGTGGGGCCTTTGCACCTCTAGTGAACTCTCAGGTGATGCCACATTTTGAGTGTCAGGCTCTTAGATGCTTGTCAAAACTGCAAATTCCTGGGTAACATACCCATTGTTGGGCTGCATCCCACAGGCCTATAAGGCCTGCAGTTGTCCAGTTTTAAGACCAAAGAAAGAGCTTGGAGTTAGCAACAGAGACATCTATGGTTTAATGGGTGGGGGATCTTATATGTCTGAAGCAAGAATCTGAAATGACATCCCATGGTGTTCAGTGGACTGGTAGCAGTCTTCACTCCTGGGGTAGGTTGCTAGTTACAGGGGGAATTGACAATTGACATCAGATAGGCTCACGGCTTACCAGGGAAACCAGTAGAGGGGCATGCCCCTCACTGTCCCTTCGATAGGAACGATTGCCAGTTAAGGCCTGGGGCAAGTACACAGGAAGGCCAGTCATGTGAGTAGGATGTAAGTGAGCAGGGGAATGTACAGAGAGCAAGAAAACAGCCAAATCGAGTGGCCTGAGCGTACACCCATAGATTTTTATTCTGAAGGTCTACAATAAAGTCCTGAATTCTGTGATTTTACAAGTGCCTCAGAGTGCTTCCAATGTAGGTGATCACTGGGCTGATGCTTTGTCATTTTTCCCCACTATGCATTAAGCAGACTATCTGGTACCTAAAATGTATTATAAAGCTGCATTTACAGAATGACTAGATTTACTCATTATCACTGATACAGATCCTCAGCACCGAAACAACTGGATGATCCCAAACATAACAGCCATAGCATGCTTTTTCTTTATTTTGCAGAGCAATTTTGGGTTTGCAGCAAAACTGAGCGGAAAGTACAGAGTTCCCAGATACCGGCTGCCCCTGACATATACACAACCCCAATCCCACTATCAAGATCCTGTACTCTGATGATACATTTGTTACAGTCGATGAGCTTACATCGTTATTACCTCAAATCCAAAGGGCCACCTGTTTATACCTTTTAGACCCCACAGTTATAGTACCAATGAAATCCCTATTTACTCAAGGTAGTTTGTGTTGGTTTCTGTCATTTATAACTGAAAGCATCGTGACTAACACTCCATCTCCAGACATACTTCCAGAATACTTCTTTCTCCCACTCTACACTGTGGATTTACTTTTCTTTTTAACCACTCCTGGATACTCTTTCATTAATTCCCATTATCTTGCTTTAGATTCCACTATTATATTCCCTCTGCCTCCCCTGAAGGGCAAAGAACTTGCTTTATTCATCTTTGCATTTTCCATAGCACTTTTTATGGTTTGTTTTTGGGTGTTTTGCTAAGTCGTGTCCAACTCTTTTTTGTCCCCATGGACTGTAGGCTGTCAGGATCCTCTGTCCACAACAATTAGGGTACCTAGTTACTGATCTTCATGGGGCTTCCCAGGTAGTACTAGTGGTAAAGAACCCACCTGCCAATGCAGGAGACATAGGAAACAAGGGTTGGATCGCCGGGCCAGGAAGACCCCCTGGAGGACCCACTCCAACATTCTTGTCTGAAGAATCCCATGGACAGAGAAGCCTGGCAGGCTATGGTCCATAGGGTCAAAAAGTCAGACACGACTGAAGTGACTTAGCACACACACACACAAATCTTCATAAATGTACATTATAACAAAGTAAAACACCAAATGACATGTAAGGAGATTCTATTATTGCATGCCTTCATTAAATTTTTTTCCTCCTAGCTTTCCTTTATAATATAATGGTCAAGCCAGGATTCAATAAAGCAATGTTATCTTCCAAGAAGTAAAACAAAAGTCTCATCAAAAAATATTTTAAAGAGAATCAAAAAATGTTGGTGCTATTTATAGGCTAGAATTTGCAAGCCAAGTATAACCTCACCCCATGTACACAAGTCTACCCAAGTAAAGATGATTGGGATATGCACTGAGAGAAATAGAGTATAATTTGTTTGTCTTATAAGGTAAATTAAAAGCATTTGAGATGTAGAAACCTAAAGGCATAAATGGACTTGCTTAAAAGTACAAATGAACTTTCTATTCAGCTTGGAGGCACCCACAAGGGCTCTCCATTGTTTTTTTTTTTTAATTCCAGTTAATTCCATTGTTAAAATATTAAAACAGTTCCACAAAGGCTACTTCAGCTCAGTTCAGTTCGTTCGCTCAGTTGTGTCCGACTCTTTGCACCTCATGAACCACAGCACTCCAGGCCTCCCTGTCCATCATCAACTCCTGGAGTCCACCCAAACCCATGTCCACTGAGTCGGTGATGCCATCCAACCATTTCATCCTCTGTCGTCCCCTTCTCCTCCTGCCCTCAATCTTTCCCAGCATCAGGGTCTTCTCAAATGAGTCAGCTCTTCGCATGAGGTGGCCAAAGTATTGGAGTTTCAGCTTCAACATCAGTCCTTCCAATGAACACTCAGGACTGATCTCCTTTAGGATGGACTGGTTGGATCTCCTTGCAGTCTAAGGGACTCTCAAGAGTCTTCTCCAATACCACAGTTCAAAATTATCAATTCTTCGGCACTCAGCTTTCTCCAAAGTCCAACTCTCACATCCATTCATGACCACTGGAAAAACCATAGCCTTGACTAGACGGACCTTTGTTGGCAAAGTAATGTCTCTGCTTTTTAATATGCTGTCTA